GACTGAGATAATAATAGATACTAACTTATAGGATTGTTGTGAAGATTTAAATACTATATCTGTATTTGTAAACTCATAAAAAGGAATGCACACATAATCAGAGCTTATAAGTATTCCTATTACTATAACTACATGATAAGAAGTTCACATAAGATAGCAACCCAAAGACACAACAACCAGAACTCAGTATTGTATGAGGCCAAGCCACCACCAGTCATAAACAAAAGCAAACACCACAAAAGAAAAACAAAAGCAAACACCTTTTTCTTACGATTTCCACTTTCACGCTGTACAGCCTTCATCAAATGCACCAACCGATCTACAAACGTCTGCTGTGCAGCCAGCAAAGAACGCATGACTCGGACAGACTTGTCACCCTGCAGGGAACCAAAACAAAGAAAAATTAGTTCTATATACCATAACGATCAGGGTTTCTTAAAGAGCATGTGTGAGCTTTAGTTATACTTCTAAAGCTGTAAACTTCAATACAAAACAAAACTTTCTACAATAGAGCATTTTTTTTCACATACAACCACGTGACAAGATAGGATTCATTCACTGCCAAAATGCATTTACTCCTTATCTGATTCAATAAATACCTGAAAGCTTATGATGCCTTAAGAAATGTGATGGATATATATATGGCCAAAACAAAGATGTTGTTTTCAAGGAACTAAAAATCTACTTAAAAAGAAGAAACTGGGGGGGAGGGGGATGGGATTAACAGTAGCAAATATCTGTCGGGGGATGGGAAAACACTTCTTATCTACAGGGTGCCTGAATGAAACGTCATTGTACACCTACCCTTAACTGTACCCCACAAAACCATAATAAAAACTACTGATTAATGAAAAAAAAAAAAAAAAGAAGAAACTGTGCAAATTGCACCACAATATGTACTTGCTTAGTAAAATATAGGTCATAAAAAATAAATGCCTTACATTTTATGTAGTGATTTCCAGTTTTAAAAAGTTATAAAAATACTCTTTCTCATCTAATCTTTTCAATTACCGTGGTAAGTGCAGCTGGGCAAGTGTTTTCATCCCCATTTCATAAATGAAGAAATTTAAGCTTAGAGGAACTAAAATGTCTTCATAGTTGACAAAGGTTGTAAGTGACAGATGTGAGATTAGACGAGAGGATCAAGGGCTTAATCTGCCACTCAGTTTGATGCTAGAAGTTCTGCACTCTGAGAACTATATAAATGTTTAGTTTCAAAGTGATTAATAAGATTTAGATTTTTAAGAACATAAAACAGCAGATAAAAGATGCTATAAAGTAAAATGTTTCTGTAGCAAAGTCACAGAATTAGTTTTTTTACTGCCCTTGCACCCTCTGCTGGCTGAACTGTGACATAGCTTTAAAATAACACCAGAGGAAAAATCTCTAAAAACTGTTGAAAAACCAAAAATGTAATAATGCAGAAAGTATCTGCAAAATGACCACTGCCAGATTTATGAGAAAGTGCACAAACTTAATAAGAAAATGCTAAATAAAAAAAAGGAAAAGCTTAATTTTTTAAAAAATTCTGTGGTTAGGTTTATTTCATTAAATCAGGGATGAACAAATTTTCTGTGAAGGACCAAAGAGGAAATATTTTAGGCCTTTTTGGCCATACAGTTTGCATTCCAATTAACAAATTGCTACTGTAGTGCAAAAGTAGTCATGGACAACAGAAAAATGAATATGATTAATTTCCAATTATTTATTTATGAACAATAAAATTCAAATTTCACATAATTTTCACGTCACAAAATATTCTTTTGATTTGTTTTCAGACCATTAAATAGAAAATCCACCAGGCGCAGTGACTCAGCCTGTAATCCCAGCACTTTGGGAGGCTGAGGCAAGTGGATTGCCTGAGTCCGAGAGTTCAAGACTGCATCTCTGCAGTAAATCAAAAATTAGCCGGGCATGGTAGCACACACCTGTAGTTCTGGCTACTTGAAGGGTTGAGGAGGAAGGATTGCCGAGTCCAGTAGGGCGAGGCTGCGGTGGCCAGGAGCATGCCACTGCACTCCAGTCTGGGCAACAGAGTGAGATGCCAACTCAAAAAAAATAAATAAACAAACAAACAAACAAATGGAAAAACCATTCCAGCTATGGACCATACCAAAACAGGCATCAGGCCAAATTTGACCTATGCCCTGCAGTTTGTCTGCCCCCACATTTAATAGTTACCTTCAGCAATGCTTGGCTGAATCTTCTCATGACATTCAAGTACATCTCATGGGTCTTTGGATCTCTCTGCTGAGTGTCTTGATCTTCACATTCTACGATCACATACCTTAATATGTGAAATAAAACTGAGGTTCATTTTATAAATATTTATACCTTTTCACTAAAAAAATTGATTTTATATATGCAAAAATAATTAAATTGGAGTAATAAACCACATTTTATCATTTCTTAAAAGTGAAAAATTAAGGCACACCATGTATGACCATCAATAAAAGGTAAACTAACAGCAGTAATGTGGCAATTTGTGCAATATTCTGAATTTTCTAAAAATTTTGCCATAAAAATAGCATTTTCACGTTTTCTCTTTATGAATGTATGAGAGATACAGAGTATTAACCTCCTCAAAAATCATCTAAACTCACAAATTTAATTCAAAAATGACAATTATTATTTTCATACTTTGTAATACTTTGTGATACTTTGTGATACTTTGTGATACTTTGTAATACTTTGTAATACTTTGGTATTACAATTTAATACCTTGGTATTACAATACTTTGGTATTACATAAGGTGCTCTTATTCTGAAAAACACCCTGAAGCTACTTTTCTTACTGACATACTTTTGAAAGATAAACAAAACATTAATAGGGTTTTCTTTCCCATCCAATTTCCTCATTTCTCAAAAATTCATGTATAATCTTCAATTTTTCTATTACACAATAATGGTTTTAGAAAGTTAAAGAAATTTTAAATCTTAAACCTAATCTGCTTATACAATTACAAAAATCATATAAGCAAAGCTCTGAATAAAACTTTAGAGGCCATCTAATACAGTTTCACAATGTTCTGATGGAATAAACCATAATAACAAATAATATTTTATATAACAACCTAATGCACACAGCCATGTGTGCATACACATGCATAAAACTGAAAAGGAAATTTCATAAAGCAATACCTTACAAACAACGTTAACAGTTGCCGCTCTGCTCTATTTTATTTTTCTTTAAATAGCAAATGCTAGACTGTGACGCTTTATTTTCAATGGATCATGGCGTGTGACTTGAAAAACACGAGTCTAAATCTACTTGTTTGCTTTATGGATAGTGAAACTTAGAGAAGCTGTGTCCTGCCCATGGTAGCATAATTAGTTGATTGTAGAGCTGGGACTGGAATCCAGGTTGGACTCCCGTGCCAGAATTATTTCTATTCTACTAAGTTTACTTAGTTTACTGGTTTTTATTTATTTATTTATTTATTCTAATTCACGGAGCTCTATTCTTTATATAAAAATGGAAGCTTAGAGAACGTCTCTAGAAATTGTTCCACACATCAAACTTTTAAACCTTCTTAACTGATAGTCTTTCCAAAATCTCAAGCCACAGATGCTTATTATTATTATTATACTGTTTCTGGGAAAGTGCATACTGTATTCAGCCATCTAGAGGGTAAACTTCATGAGAGCAGAGAGATTATCATCTTGTTCTCCACTATACCTTCAGCACTTTCCTGTCTGGCTCATAATAGTTGCTCTTTATATTACCGTTGAATGAATGAATGACTACTCTCGTGGATTTAGCTATTATCTCAATATATATTCCTTTTATTCATAAGGAATAAAGGTCCATATTTGGACATAAATTCCAAATTTGCATTTCATTAGGTGGCCTGCATTTATATTCATCAACCCTAATTTCAAACACCAAATCTCTTTTGCAAGGTACTGTGTCATTTTTAACTGAACATGTGTTGAACATGTGTAAAACTGAACCAATTACACTAAATGAGATATTTTTCTACTTCTACTGAAAGTATCAATATTCCAATCATTTGGGGCTGGAAATTCTCACACAGCAGGGTTCACAAACTCAAGTTTTCTCACAAGTCAGGCTATAAACAAATGTTTAATTGTTTGAATATAAGAAAAGAGGGAGAGTTGGGGCTGCAGTCAAACCAAAGAACACAAGTCCTACTTAAAACTTTTATTGGTACCTTGTGTTTCATTTGTGGTCCAAGGTACCAATAACTTAGCTCACAGTCCCCTGCCTCAGATACCTACACTTAATTAATCAACAGTTCTTGTTGGTTTTTCCTATTAAATGTCTCTTCTAATGGTTCTGTACTATCTAGCAGTACCTGGAATCAAATCACAGATACCACTTACAAGGCCTCTAACTCTAAAATGAAACCACATCTGCTCAACTCAATATCCCTCACTTTTTTACCTTTAAAATACCTTTATCATGTCCCATCCTAGTTACAAAAACATCAATGACTCTCTCTTTTCTGCTACTCTAAAAGAGTCCGTACAGTCCCAAGTTTCAGTTTCAAGCTTCCACCACCCCTAGTTTACGCACCCACCCTCCAGTCAGGTCAGTCCCCTAACACCTTTCCCCACGCACCCATATTGGCGCTTCCATTCATCTCGCAGTACTGTCCAGAAATACCTTCCCTCTCTCTTCATCTTTCCATCTTCTACGCATCCTTCAAGCATAGTGGGCATTTTCTCTCTTCCAGGAAGTCTTCACAGACCCTAATAACTTGTTACTTGTCTGACTTCCTAGATTAGGCACAGTCTCTCACACAACTTGTGTTGATAATGTTTGCTGCATATCATTGTGTCACAAGTTTAACTCTTACTCAGTGCCCTTCAAAGATTATAAAGAAATGAATGCCAGGTGTCATGCCTTAAAAACTTTTACTATTCTGACATACCCAAGAAAATCTTATACAAAGAAATGTGTTTTAAAAGTTGATAAAAATAAGAACTTTCTCCTTCCTACATCACAGTGTGATACTTTACCACGATAACTCTGTTTCAGCAGTCCCCAGAGTTATATAACCCAGAATTTTCTGAAAGTAGAATGAAAAAATAAATCATGATACCATACCTACCATAGCAAATTCACAACAAGAGTTCTAAACCAAAAATTCAAGAAGGCAATCCTCAATCTTGAAACAAGAGTAACTTTTAGAATTTCCAGAGTGATTACTAGACTCGTATGACTCTTTTAAATTAAAATTAAATTCAAAAATTTGATTTCTCAGTCATATTACCAACATTCCCCGTTCCAAAGAGCACTGAAAATCATTCCTTTCACTGTAGAAAGTTCATAGATACCTAAGCTAAGAACAACTAAAGAAATAAGCTCCTATTTTCTACTCACAGTATTCCAAAATATTTGGTCATTTCAGTACAACATCAAACACTGTGAAACAGACATTGGTTCTAAATTCTGAAACTGTTAATATGGTCTTATGCAAACCCGACCCATACCCTTCTACCCTTTAGTTAAAGTTCTTGTCTCTGTCATCTTACTATATTTGTGTCTTTTCCCGTGTGTTTGAGCAGTATACTCATTTCCAAATGAACACACAGATGGCCACACTACACAGGCCACTCTGTGTCCAGCAGGTCTTTCTGACCACCAAGCAAGCACTGCAGTTGCAGTCATTTCCTGTTATGAAGGTATATTTTGATGCTCATGATAAGGGTCAAGTAGTAAACACCTCTCAAAAATCATTCAAGTTCTGTTGCAAAGAAAAAGCCAATCTAAAATAAAAATGACAGCGACAACTCCAAATATCAAAAACAAGGTTAGACATCAAGAATAGAAGACCTAGATTTGAATCATTCCTGAGTTTTTCTGTTCACACCAATAAACTAGATTGTACAAAGCCCCCCAAGGTATTCTGCTGAAAGCTGTCATACTAAAGTGGAAATGCAGACAAAATTGTTCGGGTACCCATTGTAAGATGACATCAGTGGGCTACCTGTTTCCTGGCAATTTTGTTTTGTGGAGTAAATAACCTTTATTACCTTGAAAGGTCTTAAAAGTTATAGAAAACATGTCAAAGCGTCCAAAGTTTACTTTCAATTTCAACACACTGGAATGGCTATAAAAATAAAAAACTGGAACGATTTATAGATTCTGATGCACAACATTTTACAGATTGGTGACTATAACTCCCCTCTGTGGCTTAAAAGGTTGACACTATTCATTTTAAAAGGATTGCCTGCACAACCACAAGTCCCTAAGGATTTAGCTACAACAGGAATCCTGTCTAAATCACTGGAAAGGGAACAAATGAAAAAAGGAAATTTAAATGCTCAAAAGGAAATAGCACAATCAATTAAAATTTATATTTAATACATTATAACAGAGTAAGCTTAGAGTCAGAGGCATTTAAATTTTACATCTGACTATTATTGTACTATTCTATTCATGTTCAAAGGAAGGGAATGATCATTTTAAACCAACTATTTGAAACTATTTCCCATACAGTTGTCCTACATTTACAAAAGCAGTGCCTACCAAAGGCAAGAGTCCACATCGGTAGCTTTTCTCCCCATGAGTATTTCTGAAGATGTAATATGCAGACTGTAAATACGGGAAAGACAATTACTCCTTACGGAATGAACAGGCAGAGCACATGCGATTGCTTCAGTGAAATCAGAGATACAGTGGGAAAACACAAATCAAATCTAAGTTTGATGGAATGCTTCTAAGACTGGGAGCAGGGGCTGTACTTTGTTTATTAGCCATGGAGAAAACAAAGCACTCTTTCGGAACAGAAACAGTTGCCATGTAGGAAATTGTTCCTCTATTAAGTTTCCTACTGTTTGGCTGCTCTCAGAATGATTTGAAAATTCTTCCTAGTTGAAATAGGATCAAAGGTTCTATCAAAGCTAATTTCAAATTTCATAATGAAATCTGGTCTATGATCAAATCAAAAGAATACATAATTTCAAAGAACATAATCAGTATGTATACACACAGTCCTTAAAATACTGTCTACTCCAGACTACTCATTCTGAGTCAAAGAAAAGTTTCCATGAATATTGCAAGGAAAAAAAATACCTATAAAAAAGTTTTTTTTTAAAATATATAAAATTTTAATTTAAAAATACCTAAGAAGCTAAGAAGCATTCACAAACTCAGCAACATATCCCACATTTATTCTCTTTACTTTCTTTTAAATATTTAGATTTGCATGAGGAATATTTTTCCACAGTACCAATTAATTAGACATATACTTAGGATCAGACTGGAATAGAGAACTTTAGAGGCAAGAGGTTACTTTATAAAGGAAACAGTAGCAATTTGGTAATATAAGAATTTCTAAGTAAATTTTTCAATGAAAAAATAGTAATTCGCAATTAGCTAAAACATTGTGTGAGCATATTTTCAAGGATATGCTGAATTTTAATGTGAGGAAAGTACAGGTTTATAAAAATTATATTAAATTGCTAAAGTAAAAGCAGAGAACTATTTTTCTTCCCACTATTGACGCCCACAGGAAAAAAAGGTTCCAAAAGGAGGAAAAAATGACTGTTTTAGTTAAGATTGTTGACAGCAGTTTTCTTTGTTGTAAAGAAAACCATAAAGGCTAAACTAAACAAAGATTTATTTATGTAAATAACAAAATCTGTGTTTGTTAGAAAAGTGCTTTGATTTAGTTACCTACTCCTTGCCTATGGGACAGTTTCCAGAGAAACATGACCTTTCCAGAGTGGGAAAACGAAGCTAAGGCTTAATTTGCCCCCACAAGGGCAGTTTCCCCAAATCTAGTTTAAAATAACAGCATTTTGTTTAATTTCCTCAAGAAAAGCAAACTGTCTCATGATTATTCAAAAATACAGGTTGAGCACCTCTTATCCAAAATGCCTGGAATAAGAAGTGTTTTGGATTCCAAATTTTTTCAAATTTTTGAATATTTGCATTATATATAACATCCTAAATACGAAAATCCAAAATCTGAAATGCTCCAACAAGCATTTCTTTTGAGCTTCATGTCAGTGCTCAAAAAGTCTGGGATATTACAGCATTTCAGATTTCAAATTTTTGGATTTGGGATGCTCAGCCTGTAATGAGCTTTCAGAATGGACATCTATTAATCTGTAATTTGCTAAAGTTTAAGGTTATAAATTGAGAAGTAGGATTGGAGATCATTTACACAGTGAAAAAAATGTCATGTCAAGAAGTTTAACATATGGACTAAGTGTTCTTTCAAATGTAAAGAAGGCATCAGGTAGGTCTCACTCAGCTGGCTCTGCCTTTTGTCCACTCTGTAAAATTAGATAAAACTTTCTTATCTAGTGTTTAATCCTAGTGCTTTCTTTTTCTGAACCAGAATATGTCTGATTGCGGCTTAGGCTACTTGTGTTTCACCCATTAGAGTTCTGTGACAGATAAAAGGAGTAATGTTTCATATGAATTGAGTCTCAGGGAGTCAGTTATTCATTCTGTATCTCAGTTTTCCCTTCCTTCAATTGACTCGAGATATTGTTTTCATGTAAAAGAGAGACATTTATACTTGCTCCATATTACTCTACAACAACAAATGAGACACAGTTCCTGAAAGTACTCTGGAAATGGCAAAATCATAGATAAATAATTTGATACTAGGTCAAGTTCTACTAAGTTCAGTCACAGTAAACTTCTCTGCCTCAGTTTTCTCATGTTTAAAGTGAGATGGGGGGAGGTAGATGATGGGAGGTTGCTTAGTGGGGACAATGTGCATTGCTCCAGTGATGGATGCACTAAAGTTCCTAACTTTACTACAATGCAATATATCAGTGTAGCAAAACTGCACTTGCACCTCATGATTATATACAAATACAAAATAAAAAATGAGATAAGGTAACTGAATTCTTCTATTTTTAAATGATTCCAATGTTTTAGAGAATAATATGAAAATATATTCTCTCCTAAAGGACTATGAAGCATCATACTATTTTTTTCTTTTTTCTTCTTTTTTAAAGCTAGTGTCTCACACTGTCACCCAGGTTGGAGTACAGTGGCACAATCATGGTTCACCTCAGCCTTGACCTCCTGGGCTCAGCCTCTGAGTAGTGGCATGCACCACTACATCTGGCTATGTTTCTTATTTTTTGTAGAGACAAGTTCTATGTTACCCAAGCTCGTCTCACACTCCTGGGTTCAAGCCATCCTCCTACCTTGGGCTTCCAAAGTGCTGCAATTACAGGTATGCACCAGCACACCCAGTGTAACACTATTTGAAGTGCTATAAAAGGTAAACAGTGCCACGACAGGAATTTTAGGGGATAAAAGAGCAAATAGGTAAGCAAAGGGAAAATATCCATTACCTTACCCAGTTACAACCTAGCTCCTGGAAAGTGAGTGAAAGAGAAGAGAAGCAGTGGTGTTATTAACAGCACTTCCCTGAGACCAGCTGTGGGGGAATACAGCTTGATAGGAATACTGTATCCAAGTTTCTGGTGCTTGTTCCTATCTTCCTTTAAATTGCCATTGTGTTTACAACATAAGCCAAAGCAATCCTTAAGAGTAATAAGAAAATAAATAGAAAAGTATTTTCACATACCAGTATAAATAATTAGCCAGCGTTGAGTTTTTGCAGGCTCTTGATATCAAGAAGGTACAGAGATCTTGCTGAAAGAAGTAAAAGAAACATATATATATATTACCATCTGCTCTTAAAAGGGGAAATATGTGTCTCAGTTCTCATCTGCATCTTATGTCACAGATCAGATTTTCATCCATCCATCTATCCCTCCATTCATTCATCCAAAAATGTTCTAAATGAGATATAATATGCAAGAGGTTAGGACACAGAGCTCATAACATCACAAAGTTCCTTGTTCAACTAGAGCTTAGTATTTGGTAGAGGAGAAAGACATCAAATAAATGGTTACAGAAAAAATTTAGGTTGGGAGATTAGGAAAGGCAACAATGAAGATGTGACATTCAGGCAACACCAAAATGACAATATGTACAAAGGTTCTGAACTTGGCTTTACTGAGGAATTTTAAACAATGTAGCTATAATACAGTGAACAATATAGTAAAAGAAGCTGAAAATATGGACAAAGGCCAAAGTATGTGAGACCTTTAAGGTCACACAATTATTAAATATGAATTTTATTTAAAAGCAATGGATACCCAACAAAAGATCTTAAGAGGAAGGTGAGATGATCTATGTGCATTTTATAAAAATGTCTGTTTGCTCTGTGACATACAGACCTGAGGTCAGTTAAGATGCTATCACAGCAGTCTAGAAGAGTGAATGGTTAAGAGTAGTGATGGAGTAAAAAAGCTAAACTTAACAATATTGGACTTGCTGATAGAGAGAAATTAGGATGGAAAGAAAGGAATAGATAGCATAGTAACCCCCAAATTTTTGAATTTAGCAAATCAGTTGGTTTTTTATGTCAAAGATGGAAATTTCAGATGAGAAGCTGGCTATGGAGTGAGAGGAGAAAGTTGTATTTTGAAATACTAAGTTCAAAATGCCTGTCAGACACACAGTGGAGATAGAGTAGGTATTTTGAATATGTGCATCTAAAACTCAGATGAGAAATATGAGCTAAAAATAGAAACTGAAGTTTATTAGTACAACCTAGGATAAGAGCATACATTGAGACTAGAAGAGAACCCTGAGGAACATTACAATGTCAAGCAGAGGAGAAAGTACAGGCAGAGGATAGGGAGAAGAAACAGCAAGAGAGAACACAGGAGATACATGCCATAATTCAAACAACAGCAAGTGTCCGGTTTTCAAGGTGATTTACTTTGCTGAATACTCTAAAAGAAATAAAAAAAAGTGCAACAAAAAACATTTTGCTAGGTCATTTAATAACCTAACAAAATAAGTTTTAAACCAAAGTCAGAATGATGTGGTCTAAAGACTGGAAGGGAAAGAAGAAAAGAGTAGATATAAACCTTTGAGAATGGTAGTAAGAAAACAAGGTGTTGTTCAGGGAACGTGGTATCAAGGGAGAGCTCTGTTTGTTTTGTCTTTCTAAATTTTTAATGTGGAAAATACTAATACATACTTGAATACATCTACAAGAAAATAAAAAAGCACATCTTTGAAGGGAGTTGTTAAATAGAGGGAAAAAATAGAGGGATTCATGTCTATAAATCTAGTGACAGGAAACCATTCTTACCTAGTGATTTTTATGACTTCTATTAAGTATGAGGCAGAACTGTAATTTGGACACTAGGAGGCAGGGTGACGGGGTGGAAATGGCATTTTAAAAAACCACTGCATAGGAGGAAGATCAACTCACCCAGAGAAATGTTAAGATGGAGGAGAGCAATGAATGCTCATCTGAGGCTTGTGATCATGAATTCATAGTGACTCCAACGAACTACATTATGTGTTTTTCTTCAGCAATATTCAGGCATAGACAAACTAGGTGATTAATTAGGCTAATTAAGAGTTGAGCCAGGTTCGGTGGCTCAGCCTGTAATCCTGCGCATTGGGAGGCTGAGGTGAGTGGATTGCTTGAGCCCACGGGTTCAAGATCCGCCTGGGCAACTTGGTGAGACCTCATCTCTACAATAAATCAAAAAAAATTAGTCAGGTGTGGTAGCACGTGCCTGTAGTTCCAGCTACTTGGAAGGCTGAGGCAGAAGGATCACCGGAGCCCAGCAGGTGGAGGCTGCTGTGGCCGGAAGCAGCCACTGCACTCTAGTCTGGGCAACAGAGTGAGACTCCAACTCAAAATAAATAAATAAATAAAATAAAATAACAAATTCTTCGCCAGGCTCGGTGGCTCAGCCTATAATCCCGTGCTTTGGGAGGCTAAGGTGAGTGGATTGCCTGAGCCCACGGGTTCGAGACCCACCTGGGCAACTTAGCAAGACCTCATCTCTACAATAAATAAAAAAACATTAGCCGGGCGTGGTAGCGCGCACCTGTAGTTCCAGCTACTTGGGAGGCTGAGGCAGAAGTATCACTGGAGCCCAGCAGGTAGAGGCTGTGGTGGCCGGGAGTGGCCACTGCACTGCAGTCTGGGCGACAGAGTGAGACACCAACTCAAAAAAAAAAAAGAGTTGAGATTTGTGTCAGGGGAGCGGCAGATACCAATAAAAGTGTTACTAAAATGATAGCTATGGGATAAAAGCTCTATTCAGAAGAAAATAAATATGGAAGGAGGCTGTGAAAAAAGAAAAGGATAGAGATCAATTAATTTAAAATTTCTATACAGTCGGATGCTGTGGCTCATGTCTGTAATCCCAGCCCACTGGGAGGCCAAGAAAATAGCATAGCTTGAGCCCAGAAGTTTGAGACCATAACAGGCAATAAAGTGAGACTGTATCTCTAAAAATTAAAAAATTAGGAGAGCTGAAAGAAAGCTGAAGTTACAGGAACAGCCTCAAAGCCAGTTTTGTTTATTGCTTTCTTTATTTAGCCTGGTTTTTTGTTTTAGTTTTTTTCCTCTTTTCTCTTTCTATTTTTGGTCACGTTTTTGTACTTGCTTTGTTTCTGCAATTTTATTAGGTTTTTTTTTAAGACTTTTTCTTTGTGCATGGGTATTTTTGAGGAAAAGTAGATCATTATGAGGATTTTTGTCCGTTTGTGTGTTTGTATGATTCTTTGTATTTTTTTTAAATCTGTCTTTGTTTGTGGTCTCTTTTCATTTGTTAGTTGGCACGCTTGTTTCCCCTCTTCTTCTTCTCTCTCTCCACCTTCCTCTTGACACCCTCCCTCCTTTATCCATTCTTTTCCTTTTTCTTATGTCATTTTGCTTTTAGGGAGCAAACCTATACACCAACTGCATGGATAGATTGTAAGGCAGAGGAAAGTGGTTTCTGGGGGCCCCACAAACTTATCAGTGGACACAGGGATCTGCAGATAGTTTCTGAATCACATCTACCCCTCAATTAAATCTCAGAACTGCAAAAAGTATAGCCTCCACCTACAGTCCACCTTCAGAATTGAACAAAGCCAGAGATCCCCATAAGGAAGAACAGGAGATTGAGCAACAGAAGTTAAAGCTACTCCCCCCATCCCTGAAAAACAGAATTAAAGAAGAGGTTAAAAAAAGGGGGGGGGAGTAAAATCTACACAAATTAAGAAAAACCAAAAGAAGAATATGGGTCTCACACAGACCCCTGGAAGGTCAGTAACTGAGAACACAAACTTCAAAATGCAAACAATGAAGAGTCCCCAGAATGACTGGTCTCAAACCACAAAGCCAGATATGAAGACATTAATAGAATAAATAGAATTGAGGAGAGACAAGAGGAAAGAATGAAGGAGCTGATAATGGAGATAACAGCAATAAAGAACACAGTGAAACCGGGCTCAGTGGCTCAGTCTGTAATCCCAGCGCTTTGGGAGGCTGAGTGAGTGGATTGCCTGAGCCCGCGGGTTCAAGACCCGCCTCGGCAACTTGGCAAGACCTCATCTCTACAATAAATCAAAAATTAGCCAGGCATGGTAGTGCACACCTGTAGTTCCAGCTACTTGGAAGGCTGAGGCAAGAGGATCTCCAGGGCCCAGCAGGTTGAGGCAGCGGTGGACAGGAGCAGCCACTGCACTCCAGTCTGGGTGGCAGAGTGAGACGCCAACTCAAAAAAAAAAAAATACAGTGAAAATGCTGGGCTCGGTGGCTCAGCCTGTAATCCCAGCACTTTGGGAGATGAGGCATGCATCATAAAACAAGTTATTTAATAAAGTTGTAGCATTTAGTTAATCAAATTCAGGGCTTTAAAGACAAGCATAGAATGCATATCTGGAGGGATCTCTCTTACAGGAACCTGCAAAACCTTGAGACTCACCTCCAGATTTTCGCCATCTGAAACTTCTTTTGTTTTAGATGTAGGAGGAGGAGAAGACACTGGAGGAAGAGAGCTGGTTATAATTTGGGAGCTGAAAAAATAAGAAATGAGATCATTGAGAAGAAGACATTTTTTAGCTCGGTTCACCTCAGTTGTGTCTGGTTAACACAACACTTTCTGCAGTATGTTCTGTGCAATGCTGGGACCACATCATGCTCTAGAAGACGACCCTCTATGGCCAAAGATTATGGGTCACAGCCTTTTGGGAGATTTATGTGCAAGTTTGCATATTAAAGGTTTTGATGAGTGTGTTTTTTTAAAGCTCATTTAACTTTTTTTTAATGTTTTCTCCCAAATATATCCAGTCCTAAGATTGTCACATATTTTTTAATCTTACAAAAAAAAAAAATAGAATTAAGGAGTAGGAGACCATGAGTTAGAAAATACTGAGAATCCCTTTATAAAATTTTGCATCGATTTTTTACTAATACAACATTCTACGTGGCATAAGGAAGGAAGAAAGTAAGCAAGCATGACTTGAGATTGAAGACCTCTGGTATATAATGGGAGAAAACATAAACACATTTTATGTGTCTCTTTTTTTGTTAAAAAGAGAAAAATATAGAGTAGTCTAAGGGGGAAAAATGCTTTTTCCTCTTTTTCAGTTATCCAAATAAAACAGAAAAGAAAGCAAAGAATTATCATTATTTTAAATAAAAATTCAGAAATACAATTCTGAGCACATGTAAGTTGAAATGGCTGGACAGGAAATTTTAAATCTAGACCTGGTTCTGTCATTAACAAACCTCACAACCTTCACAAAATCATTTTATTTATCACTGAGTCTCAGATTTTTCACCTAAAAGTTACGATTTATTTCAAATTTTAAGATTTTCTGAAAAGCAAAATGTCCAAGTAGAAAAAACATAGGCTCTAGGGTCAACTCTACCATTTGTAAAATATAGACTTTGGGTCTGATGTAACCATTTGTTAAGTCCTTCAGCTCTAAATTAGGGATATGAACATCTACCTCAGAGGGCAGTTTTACCAAGATAATGTACGTGGACCACCTAGCACAGTATTGGAAACGGAGTTGGGACTTCCTAATTGTTGTTATTGTTAATAGGTGAATTTTAAGTTAAATAAGAGGATTTTTTTTTAGCGTAACTATTAAAGAGGTGAATGCAGCTAATATAATTATAGCTTTTCATTAACTGTACTTCATTTTATTTCAACATAAATAAGTAGCAGTAGTACCATGTATGACATAATTTCCTATGAGTATTAACTCATTTAGTGATCACACAACCCTCAAAGATCAGTTACTATTGCTGTCCCCATTTTTACAATGAGAAATGGGGAACACATAGAAAATATGTAACTTACACAAGTTTGTATACCCAGTAAGTGGCAAAGTCAAGATTTTTACTCAGGAATTCTGAGTTAATAGCCTGCAAAACACAGCTTTCTACTATAGTCATTTGTTGACTGCACATGTGATATTCATTGGTAAAACTTCAAAACTAGTAATACTAAGGTTTGGTACATCTGAGGAAAACAGAAAACAATTTGAAAGGGTAGAAAACTATTAAATGTGAAAATATATCCTCCGTGGACTGCCATACCTATCTATTTCAGCAGAGTTTATTCCAGAATTTAACACACTCTCTGACACTGTACTCTGACTATCCTTTTTCGTAGGTTCCAACCCATTCTTTATATCATCAAAGTTTTCATATTTGAGAGCCTGGACCAGCTGCAACAGGTACATCAACAAATCCTGGAAAACAAACAAACAAACAAAAAGTAAGCTAATATTAGAAAGTGAATGCAGTGGAGAATCAAAATGGTTTGTCTGAAACTAAAAAATTTTTAAAAGGCAAGTCTGGTGGCTCCCACCTGTAATCCAGGCACGCCGGGAGGCTGAGACAGGAGGACTGCTTGAGCCCAGGAGTTTCAGACCAACCTGGGCAACATAGCGAGACTCTGTCTCAATTAAAAAAAAAAAAAACTAGCTGTGCATGGTGGCATGCACCTGTAGTCCCAGCTACTTGGGAGGCTGAAGAGGGAAAATCATCTGAGCCCAGGAAATAAAGGCTGCGGTGAGCAGTGATTATATCACCGAACTCCAACCTGAGTGACAGACTCTAATTGAGAAAAAAAAAAAGATCCTTTTTTACAGCAATAATCAGATAACTGCATTCTATGTTGTTTTGTTTTGTTTTGTTTTGTTTTTGAGTTGGAATCTCACTCTTGTCACCCAAGCTAGAGTGCAGTGGCACGCTCACGGCCACCGCAGCATCGACGTGCTGGGCTTAGGTGATCCTTCCGCCTCAGCCTTCCAAGTAGCTGGAACTACAGACGCACGCCTCCACACCCGGCTAGTTTTTGTGATTTATTGTAGAGACAAGTTGCCCAGGTTGGTCTCAAACCCCTGGGCTCAGGTAATACTCTCGCCTTGGCCTCCTAAAGAGCTGGGATTACAGGTTGAGACACCGCACCCAGCCACATTCTATGTTTAATACTACATAAGAAACTCGAAATTTTTAAGTTTTCAAAGAATTTGTTTCATGACTTTCTCTAATTAGAACCTTCAAAAATCTTGTAGTCTCTTTTTGTCTGAAAGCTCAGGTTTTAGAAAATTTAGGTTGTTTCTTAAATAGAAGATCCTGCAAAACAGATATTTTAACACATTAGAGAAATGCTTACCTTTCCTGTCAACCACCAAAGCAACTAAAGAAAACAAACTGCTGAGCCTAAATTCCCTATATTATACTTTAACAACCAGCGAGAGAATTAGAACTAAACAGTCGCCCACAAAATAGCTTTTACTTTCTGAGTTTTCCCTTAATGTACGAATACTCTCTTTAAGTTTAATTTTTTAGGGTGGAAATGTTTCCTGTAATACTTTATACAAGTTGTTCTTAGCTCTTTCCAAGTCTATACTCTTAAGAAATTTACTTTGGAAAGTAACTATTAATAAAAACTAAAGAAACTTGCAAAACTCAAAAAAATTTAAAACATATCTATTATCTTCTGATTCCAGTTGCCACACACCTTTCAGCCACTGGAAACTCTCAATTTGATACTTTTGAGACTTTGAGACTACCAATTCAACTTCAGTGGCCTCTTAAAGCTCACAAATCAGGTTCAGTATCCTGTCAATATTTCATGGCCTACTCCTTTCCTGTCTGTAACCTCTGTAACACTTCAAATTACATATTTACTCTAGGTCTTTTCTATTATTTTATAAACTCCATAAAGATAAAGACCACCTGCCAGCACCTATATACCCTTACTTAATACAGCAAGCATACCTTGTCTTATTGCACTTTGCAGACATCGCTGTTTTTTTTTCCAAACAAAATGAAGGTTTGTGGCAACCTGTAGCAAGCAAGTCTAATGGTACAAGTTTTAGAATAACATGCACTCATGTCATGTCCATCACATATTGGTAATTCTTGCAATATTTCAAACCTTTTCATTATTATATCTGTTATGGTGATCCGTGATCAGTGATCACTGATATTACTATTTTAATAGTTTAAGAGAGCACCCAAATAGGATGGAGAATGGATAAAAGTGTGTGCATGACTGCTCTACCAACCAGTCATTCCGATCTCTCCCTTTCCTCAGCCTTTGTATTCCTAAAACACAACAATATTGAAATTAGGCCAATTAACAACCCCACAATGCCTTATAAGTACACAAGTGAAAGGAAGAGTCTCAGCCAGGCTTGGTGGCTCAGCCTGTAATCCCAGCACCTTAGGAGGCCGAGGTGAGAGGACTGCCTGAGCCCATGGGTTCGAGATCAGCCTGGGCAACTTGGTGAGACATCATTTCTACAATAAATCAAAAAATTGACCAGGTGTGGTAACGCATGCCTGTAGTTCCAGTTACTTGGAAGGCTGAGGTGGAAGGATCACCTGAGCCCAGCAGGGCGAGGCTGCGGTGGCCGTGAACATGCCACTGCACTCCAGCCTGGACAACAGAGTGAGACTCCAACTCAAAAAAAAAAAAGAAAAGAAAAGAAAGGAAGAGTCTTGTGTCTTTCACTTTAAATCAAAAGATATAAATGATCAAGTTTAGTGAGGCACATGGAAAGCCCAGACAAGTTAAAATCTAAGTCTTTTGAGCCAAATAGTAATGATGTGAAAGCAAAGAAAAAATTTTGAAAGGAAATTAACAGTGCTACTCCAGTGAACCAGGGATAATGAGAAAGTGAAATACCTTTATTGCTGATGTGAAGAAAATTTTAGTGGTCTGGATAGAAGCCCCAATATTCCCTTAAGCCAAAGCCTGATCTAGAGCAAGGCTCTAACTCTCTTCAACTCTACAAAGGCTAAGAAAGGGGGAAAAAAGAAAAGTCTGAAGCTAACAGAGGTTGGTTTTTGATATTTATGGAAAGAAACTGTCTCCATAACATAAAAATGTTAGGTGAAGCAGCAAGTGCTAATGGAGAAACCACAGTAAGTTATCCAGAAGATCTAGCTATGACCACTGATGAAGGTGACCACACTAAACAACAAATTTCCAATGCAGATGAAACAGACTCTATTGAAAGATACCATCGAGCACTTTCACAGCTAGAGAGAAGTTAATGTTTAACTTCAATGCTTCAATGGATAGGGTAGCTCTCTTGTTAGGGGCTAATACAGCTTGTGATTTTAAGTTGAAGTCAATGTTCACTGACCATTCCTGAAAATCCTAGGGTTCTTAAGAATCATGCTAAATCTTCACTACCTGTGCTCTACAAATGAAACAAGGCCTGGATGACACATCTGTTTACAGCACACTGTTGAGACTTACTGCTCAGAAAAAAAAAAAAAGATTCTTTCCAAAATATTATTGCTCATTGACAATGTAACTGGTCACCCAAGAGTTCTGATGAAGATGTACAGGGAAATTAATGTTGTTTTCATGCCTGCTAACACAACATTCATTCTACAGCCCATGGATCAAGAAGTAATTTTTACTTTCAAGTCTTATTATTTAAGAAATACATTTTGTAAGGCTGCCACAGATAGTGATTCCTCCAATGGATCTGTGTAAAGTAAGCTAAAAAACCTTCTGGAAAGAATTCTCCTTTCTACGTGCCATTAGGACATTTGGGATCCGTGAGAGAAGGTCAAAATATCAACATTGACAGAAGTTTGGAAGAAGCTGGTTCCAACCCTCATGGATGAGTTTGAGAGGTTAAAGGAAATCACTGCAGATGTGGTAGAAATAGCAAGAGAACTAGAATTAGACTTCGATCCTGAAGATATGACTGAATTGCTGCAATCTCATGATAAAACTTCAATGGGTGAGGAGTTGCTTCTTGTGGATGAGCAAAAACTGGTTTCTTGAGAAGAAATCTACTCCCAATGGAGATGCTGAGAACATTGTTGAAAAGACAAAAGATTTAGAGTATTTCATAAACTTACTTGACAAAGCAAAGCACAGGTTAAGAGGACTTACTCCAATTTTGAAAAAAGTTCCACAGTGGGTAAAATGCTCTCAAACAGTATCTCGTGTTACAGAGAAACTGTGAAAGGAAGAGTCAATGGATGTGGCAAACTTTATTGTTGTCTTAAATTTTAAGAAATTACCACAGTCACCCTAAGTCCAGCAACCACCATCCTTATCAGTCAGCAGCCACAAACATCAAAGCAAGTCCCTCCAACAGCAAAAATGTAATGACTCTTCAAAGATAATCATTAGCATTTTTTAGCAATACAATGTTTTAAAATAAAATACGTACATTGTTCTTTTAGGTATAATGCTATTATATACTCACTAGACTACAGTATAATGTAAACATAACTTTTATATACACTGGAAAACAAAAAAATTCATGTGACTGCTTTACTGTAGAAATCTGGACTGAAGCTGTGGCAACTTAGCAAAAAATACTTATCATTAAGCAAACATTGACAAAGAATAACACACATGATTTCACCATAAATATAAGTTAAATAAAAGATTGGCTTATTCTTATTCATATGTGTCAGTTGTCAGAAAAATCAAGTGGTTCTTTATCAAAGCATCTCTATAATATTGTTAACCCAGTTTTTGGTTGGAATACCTGATTTTCTATTATCATATTTGAGATTTATGTTATCCAACATAACTATATATATAATTACGTGTTTTTTTTCTAAGAAAAAAGTATATAATACAACAGAAAATTAAGCAATATGTTTAGTACCCTTCTTTGGAAATATAAGTAATTCAGTTTCACTGTTAGCCTTCATTCCCAATGCTGCTAAATCTATTATCTGTGTGTTTTCCCAATTACATAAAAGACTTAACCACATAAAATAAAAAAGACTGCACTGTTATTAAATTATCAAGGAAGGGAAAATTCAGAAGAAAACTTTTATCCTTTCAAATTTTTCACTTATCATCATTTGATTTGTTGGTCATTTGGTATTCTATATTCAAACCTTTCTTTCCTTCATTTGTATGAAAATGAATTAACTTCAATAGTAAGTACAAAGTCTGTTTTCTCATTATATAATCACATCTTGAAAAATATAAAATTCCTCCAAGCATGAAGGACATAAGCATTCAAGTAAAAACAAAGCAAAAAGAAAGAAAGAAAGAAGGAAACAAACAAAGAAAAAGAAAAAAAAATCAGGTTTCCATCACAGGCAATTTCAGTAAAAATTTCCCAAGAGCTATGAAATGTTATCTAGATAGTGATCACCATTTTTCTAAGGAACGAGTTAATTCTAATGCTTCAGAGTGCAAATGCAAAGTCCAATGTCAAAGTCACTCACTGCCTTCCCCTATCTTACTGCATTAAGAGTAACTCTTCAAGCCGGGCTCAGTGGCTCAGCCTGTAATCCCGCACCTTTGGAAGGCTGAGGTGAGTGGATTGCCTGAGCCCGCGGGTTCGAGACCCGCCTGGGCAGCGAGACCTCATCTCTACAATAAATCAAAAAATCAGCCGGGCGTGGTAGCATGCCTGTAATTCCGGGTACTTGGAAGGCTGAGGTGGAAGGATTGCCGGAGCCCAGCAGGTCGAGGCTGCAGTGGCCGGGAGCGGCCACTGCACTCCAGTCTGGGTGACGGAGTGAGACTCTAACTCAAAAAAAAAGAGTAACTCTTCATACAGGCATTTTCAGTTAGAGACATGGGTTCTGATTTTGCCTCCCTATCAGCTACATACATCCCACACTCCTGCCAAAGTGACATGCTTTCTATTCTTCTTGTACTTTTCAATTTCCTTGCTTTTCCCCATATTGCTCTCTTCACTTAGAACATAAACTTCAACTGCAAGAATTCTACACTTCCTTCAATGACTATCTCACATGCCACTTCTTCATTAAATTCTAATATGGAATTTCTCTTCTTTTGAACTACACAACTATAAGCAATATGACTTTTAAAAATGCCAAAATGATGCCAAAGAAAGAACAGTTAAAAAAAAAATTCCCAAATAAAATATTAGCAAATCAAATTCAGATAGATATTAAAAATTAAGATTTATTTTATGGATGATATAACATTAGGAAATCTACCACATACTTACTATAGATTAACAAATTAAAGGTGAGAGATTATATGCTATAAACAAGTGCCAAAAGTGTGATTCACATTATATAGACACCATTCTTGATTTAAACACAGGAGAGAAGGAGGGAGAGATGGAGGGAAAGGGAAAGGGAGATAGGGAAGAAAGGATAGAGGGAGGGGGCAGGTACTTTCTAAATACAAATGAGAGCATGTGACTAAAATCAGAAAGAAGTACACATTAAAGAACGAAATACTAAAAGCATTCCCATAGTTAGCAAAGATGAAATTGTCGCTGCTATTATTCACCATTATAATTTGTAGCTTTTAGCTAATGCAATAAAAAACAAGATAGTTTGAAATATATTGCCTTTCTGTCTTCTCAATAAATCCTGTTTTCCAAAAAATAACAAAAAACAAAAGAAATATATGCCAGTGTTTTTCAGGTAACATAATGCTATACCTAGAAAATGTAAGAACCCACCTTACATCTATCAGAATAGGAAAAAGCCATAAAGTGACTAGACAAAACAAGTATTACAAGAAAAACAGTTTTTCTTTGAACTAACATAAATTAGAGATAAATTGGGTAGAGCAGTTCATAATAGCAACAATAGTATAAATGCTAGAGAAAAGATCTAAAACTCTTTTAATTTCCTAAGTGATAAGACTTACAAGGGATAGAACATTTTTTGTTATTCATAACAAGTCCTTTTCAACTATACCTGAGTTTATGATAATGAGATAACTTCAGAAAAGCCCCAAAGATAGAAGCTGGTTGCCAGAGGAACTAGCATGTGATTAGAGAGTTTCTAAAAGAACTAGAAAATGACCTTTCATATGACCCAGCAATCCCCCTAATGGGAATATACCCAGAGGAACTCAAAGCATTACATACTACACACGCATGTTTTTTACAGCACTATTCACAACAGCAAAAACATGGAACCAACCGTGCTGCCCATCAAAACTGGACTGGATAAATAAAAAATGTGGTACATATACAGAATGGAATATTATACTGTCATAAAGAAGGATGAACATATGGCCTTCACAGCAACTTGGATGGATTTAAAGTCAACAATACTCAGTGATCTATGACAGAAACAAAGAACAGAGTACCACATGTTCTCACTCATAAGTGGACCCTGAACATTTACCATAATATTATAAGAAAGGGATTGGCATAGCAGGACACTGCTGGGGGTGGGGGGGATGAATGCGAGGAGGGGTGACACAATAACAAGCGATCCTTCCACCCCAGTCTTCCAAGTAGCTGAAATTACAGGCACACGCCACCATGCCCAGCTCATTTTTTAAAAATTTATTGTAGAGATGATGTCTTGCCAAGTTGCCAAGGCTGGTCTAGAACCCATGGGCTCAGGCAATCCTCTTACCTCAACCTCCCAAGTACTAGGATTATAGGCGTGAGCCACCACGCCCGGCTATACCTTACATCTTTAAAACAAAATATCTATTAAACAAAAAATTAAAAGGGTTGGACCTTTAAGCCCCACCACTAGCATCAGGCAAAAGGGGAGAAGAATTGAAGACTGACTTAATTATTAACAGCCAAAGAAGTCAGAAGTGTGTTTCAAAATAATCTAGTGGAGGTTGGGAACTAGGATAGAGAGAATGAGTGGTATTTTAGATGGAATAAGATTCACCATGAGTTGTCAAACTGCTGAAGCCAGGTGAATTATAGATGAGGGCTCATTACACCACTTATTGTTTAAATTTTACTATAATTAAATACATGCATACATTAACTACTTTAATAAATGCTTCATTTGCTTCTTGAAATTCAGATGCAACTAACTCATCAAGATGATCTCACTGTCCCTCCCCCCCACACAAAAAAGTCTTTGATAATGGTTTTTCTATAGATTGGCATTACTATGTATACATATTTTTTAAAAAGCTTGAGAAGTTATTCCACATCCCATAAGTCCTGCTGCCTAGCATAAATTATTAGGTTATATTTGAGAACACATTCATCCTATAAAAATTAAGAAGAAAAAAATTTCCAGATTAGACTATCTCATAAAGAATTAGTATAACTCAAAATCCAGCAATACTTTGTTGTCAACAGAATGTTTCTCCTTCTCTGACAGTCTGATATTTACAGTCATGAGCCACACAAAGACATTTCAGTCAAGTATGAATTGCATATATGACAGAGGCTCATAACATTATAATACCATTTTTTACTGTATTTTCTCTATATTTAGAAACACAAATTTTGATGATTATGTTACAATTTCCTATGGTTTTCAGTACAGTAACATGCTGTACAGTCATGTAGCCTAAGAGTATACAGCCTAGGTATGGAATAGGCTATACCATCTAGGTTTGTGTAAGTACACTCTATGATGTTTGCACAGCAACAAAAGCACTTAAGGACATATTTCTCAGAACATACCCCTGTCACTAAGTGAAGTATGGCTGAATACAAATAGCCAGCATAAAGTTTGCAATCTTTACTTTCCAGAGGATGCAAAACCACCTTCAGAAAATCTACATATATACCTAACTGTCAGCAGCTGAAAGTTTAAAGGAGGAGTTTGAAGGAGAGTAAGATGACCATGCATCTCTATGTTTTAAAGGCCCCAAGGGCTTTTCAAGGCTACAATTAAATGTGGCTTGTTGTATACTGACTGATAGAGGGGATCTGAATTATTCCCTAGCTGGTGCTGCATTAAACCATTTTTCATTAGAATTCCTTTTTCCAGACAGAGCAATACAAGCTCTACTGCCAGGTAAATGTCCTGGGAGAGATTGTCCTATCACGTAACAGATCAGGAAGTAAATTTTCATTTCATGTAGGAGTCCTTGGAGGAATATTTTAATTTTCCTTCTGAAAGCACACCTAGTATATCCTTTCCCTCTAAAAATCTCTCTCTCTCTCTTACACACACACTTACATAGTCTATAATTACACTCTAGTTTAAAATGTATCCATTTAAACAGGAGTAATGAATAATAATGTACCTCATCATCGGCCTGTCGCAACCGGGCAACAGCATAACGTCTCACTGTTGGATTGGTATAATGAGATGACAGCAGCTCCAAGGAATCCTCAACATCCATTGGCTTCCATTTTCCCAGAAGTTCCAAGGCCTGTTTGGCCTCCTGAGGTAGATCCCAATTAACGCATTTCAAGAATTTTGTCAAAGCCTAAAAGCAGAAAATATCTCAAAGTTAGAAACAGCCTATTGCCTGGGTTAGAGGAGATCAAGGGTGACTAGGCAGCATTCCACTTGGTCCTGATGGCAGAGTCACGGGGTCAAAGATAGATTCCTATGTAAGCATGAAATGAAGTTACCGTTTGACCCTAGAGAAGCACCACAGGACAGGAAAACAAAAACAAAAAATATGTTCCCTGCAACTTTACATTTTACAGGTCAAACCAATTGCAGAGCACAATGAATTTTAAATTTGGTTTGACTTCTCTTCATTTTGTTTTTGTTATTTTAAAAGACTACAGACCTCAGGACATGGAAATAGTTGAGGCACGTTCTCATGAATGCTAAGAAGACTTGGAGGCAACCTATATTTTACAACATGAAGGGATGACACGAAATACTGCAATCACTGAATGAAAGAAAGGATCAGAAACCATACAAGGGTAGAAATTTCCACGACTAGTCTCACCCTCAATCATCTCCCCAGGGTATGATCACTGGCTTTCCTAGATGAGGACTCCACCAAATTGGAATATGGATGTTTCGCTAAGAAGTAACTAAAAGACAGGCAAACAAAAACACAAAGCACAAGCATAAAAATGGGAACCAAAGTAGAGGCAAATGGTCTATGCTTCAGCTAGCTATCAGTGGCATCCTTCCAGAACCTCACAGGATGATGAAGTTTTCACGAAACTATCAGTTAAGTAGATTACTTTGGATCATGTCACTTGTGGCATAAATAATAAATGCCGCTTTAAGAAAGGTACACACTTATTTTCCATATAGAGCAGTCCCTATTTCTGGGTCTCCTTGCTGACAGCACTTTCCTGGCTAACTCAAGATGTTTTTTTGTTCCTTCTCTTCCTCTATGAATTTATCTTGAAAAAATATAACTTTAAAATTTTAAATCCTGCTCTGCCCAACTATAATCTTTTTACTAGTAAACTAGTTTTGTTCTCAAAAAAAAAAGGGGGGTACACTTGGACAACAAAACACAACTTCTAGTTAGTATAATACAAAAGGAAACTTCAGGCCTATCTCCTTATTCCTGATTTTACTAAATTAAAAAAAATGTACTATGGAGTTTGTCTAGTCCAATGCTTGAATTGTGTATGACCCCAGCAAACTTTAATGGCTTGCCCATCACCTCAAAATGATACATAAGCTGAACTGAGAATCCACCAGGTGCACTGGTTCTCAGTCCCATGTTTTGCCCACCAGATGATGCCTCCTTACCATTAATGCACTGCCTTTCCCTAATTAGCTAAACCCATACCCCTTGGAGCCATTACTCCACCAACAGTGACCCCCTAAATCTATCCCCAGTCCTGTCAATCATTTCCTAGCAATACTTCTTATATTTCCTCTCAGCCTGAGTCTCAGTATATCATACATTTGGAGTTTGACACAGCTTTCTAGCTAAGAGCCTCAATATCAGTTTCTCTTCCGATCATTTCATACACACTCTTAAAAGCTCACATTGGAAGTGATCTTAGCACACATCTTCCATTGTCAGTAAAATTTATTTTACAACATCACTGCTAAAAAGAGACCCAGTACTTACTTGATTAATTCAGGAACGAATGTTCAAAGTAGCCATTATATTCACAGACAGTTAAAACCATTTTTGTTTTGCTTTCTAACTATACTAAACTAAAAGGCAAAAACATCCTCATGTAATTTCTTCCCATTGGTCAATTTCACTCCCCAGAAAGAATGAGAACAAATTTAGCCCTACACCACATGGACAGCCTTTCCAGTATTTGAAAGTGATTGCTATTCCATTATAATGTGGATTCAGTCAGATGACAAGGTCATTCTAGTTTGTAAGTAAATAATAAACAGACCTTGGTTTCTTTCTCAGAAATTCTATTGTCAGCTCTTATCATAACACAAAGCTATCTCATGAAACTCTCATTGTCCTTCTGTGCTTCGGCCTACTTTATTCATGACTAACTCCCATCTACAAACCTCCCATATGCTCTTCAGCAAAACAGTGATACCACCTTCTTTAAGGGCAGCTTGTTAAAGACTCGAATTTTCCAGGAAGTTTTCAGTTCTAGAAGTTGGTTCAATTATAGTACTCCCATTTAAATAATGTTCTAGCTGCCAAATATTTTTGTGGGCACTTTTATCTCTACAACTGGAGTCTGCATTGCCCAAGGATGGCTGTCCATTTCCTCTGCACCTCCTGCACACCATTTAGTATAATGCTCCTCTCTCTGTACAGAACACAGATTGCCCTACTAACTTATTCCATGAATTTATTTTGCACTTCTAAAATGTATTTCTAGGTTCAAAGTGAAAACAAAGCAATACTTCTTAAATAACTACAGTGAAAGCTTTTCCATTTCACAGTACATCAGCAGTCTTAATAGAAGTGTGCAGGTATGTACTTATTATAAGCAAATCTTATAGCATGCCGATGCACTCAATTCAATGACTGAAAAAAATCTAACTCCTAGATTCTCAGATTTATAGATTTATTAGTAAGATTTATAGAGTATGCTGTTGCCAAAGAACATAAGGCACTGTACAAAGAATTTCACAACTTTGTAATGTTAAATGTTACAATTGCAAACAAGAAGGCGACATAATGAAGGAAACAAAAATGAGAAAGACAAAAAGTCTAAGAATTTGAAGACAACAATAATAATGATGAGAATTAACCCCAAGGCTTTTAAAGATGCTTTATTGATCCATGTAAAGATACAGGATTCAAATACAATTCAACCTGTAGAGCTTCCACAGATAACTAGAGAATACAGGCTTTAGAGTCAGGGCGTCTAGGTTCAAATTCTAATTTCTGGCTCCACAAATCATTAGCTGAGTCACCTGAAGCACACTAACTTTTAAGGAACTGATAGGGTTGTGGTGAAGGTTAAGTTAATGAACGTAAAATGTCTGAAGCAACACCTTGAATATAATAAATACTCTATAAATGTTAATTATTTTACCATCAGTTATTATTATTCTATTTCTGGTGTTGAATCTAGTGTCAAACGTTAACCTTACTTCTCTTATTGCTGCTCTATATTATATTAATAAACATTTTTTAATCTCTCATCTTAAAATCACCTCACTGTTATCACCTATTCTTAGAAGCACAATCACAATCACTTCAGAAATGAAAATATGTATTTATCATAGATACGTATTTTGAATTTAACTTCTACCAACTCAACTGTCAGAGTCTATTTTGGTATTCTTCTAATAATTTCAATTCCAAATACTCAAAAAAGAAAACACATCCTCACCCTGCTCCTTTCACCTGCCACATATCCTTGTGTCGAGCTCGGTTCTAACCCCCGAAACTGTCTCCATGTCAACTCTTCTATGGCTGTCGCTCACTCCCTTGCCCTCCAATGCCGTGACCTAAGTCAGTACATGAGCTCCGAAAAGTAACATTTTTCATTCTGAGCTCTGCTTCAATCTACCCTAGTTTATCCTCCTTAAAATATCACTTGTTTATACACATTTTCCTGTTTTAGTGGTTTCCTGTTGCCAGTGAAGTCCAGTTCCCAGGTGAAGAATTCAAGGCTAATTGCAATCTGATACCATGTTTTCTATTTCATAAACATTTACACAAACTTTTCTGTCTTTTGAATCTAACAACCTGCCTTACTTATGCTTTTCTTCCCCATGAAAAAAATATCTTTGTCAAATAAAAAATGCCATCAAAATCTGCTTAAACTTCAAGGGTGATCTTTGCTCTGTGCCACTTCCCTCATATCACAGTACCCTGATCTTGTCATCCTCCATGTTTCTATTATAGTAATTACCTATATGTTTACTAAGACAATAACCCTTAATCAATTACTATTCTATTCTTATTTTGATTATGTGTAAATATCCTTATAATTTTAATTTACATGAATATAGGGACATGATACCCCAAGGCCCAGAGCCAGGAATAGATAATAAATGACTGCTGGATATGATTCATTTCTGCTATGGCTTGCAATCAGCTTCTTGTCAGGCAACACAAACACGATTATTATCCTGATGACACTGTGTCAGAAGCAGCCTTATAAGAGCATTCAGTGCATCACTATTATCTTCATTACATGTGACTCTTCCTACTGCTTTATTTCCCCAAATATATCAAAAGCATAGAGTTAATATGACAATTACCTTTAACTGATATTTTTATAAGAAAATCCATTATAAAAGCTAATTTTGGAAAATTACAGTATTCTCATTTTAGGTTCCACAAAACTGAGTCCCTTCCTACCTACCTGCTGTGGACCACAAGTTTCTAAACACTTCATAAATATAAATGGCAACAAATTTAAAAGGTAACTTTGGACAAAGTTATTGTGAACTTTTTAGATGCAACATTAAGTCCAGCCTAGAGGGTTTTCACCTGAAATACTTAAGGGAGATCATTTAGAAAACAGGTAGAGGCCAGGCTTGGTGGCTCAGCTTGTAATCCCAGCACTTTGAGAGCGAGGTGAGTAGACTACCTGAGTCCATGGGTTCAGATCAGCCCAGGCAACTTGGCGAGACCTCATCTCTACAATAAATTAAAAATTTAGCTGGGCATTGTAGAGCACGCCTGTAGTTCTGGCTACTTGGAAGGCTGAGGCGGAAGGAACACTGGATCCCAGTGGGTCGACGCTGGGGTGGCCGTGAGTGTGCCACTGCACTCCAGCCTGGGCAACAGACTGAGACTCCAACTCAAAAACAAACAAACAAACAAAAAACAGGCAGAAAGACTAAATTTAATTTAAAAAGAAAAGCATTATAACTTTGTAAGAACCAATTTCCTTCAATTTGTTTTCTGAGCACTACTTTTTCTCTAGGAAATCTTTTCAGCCCCAAGGCCCAAATGCCAAATAACCTAAATCACAATTTCTGAGAGTCTGACACTGAAAGAATTTCTTGGTGTAAATAAATTATAAGGGTATTTGCTTTTTACAATACTCATTTGGAATTATTACAAGGATACAAGCGTGGCGCTGTGAATAATTCCTTAGGTCACTTCAAGGTCTATATATATTTAGTTTACTCAAAAGTCACTCCTAAACATTAAAACATATTGTTCACTCTACACTAGTGGTCCTAAGAATCCTATAATATGTCCTGAGAATTGAAGTTTCATCACCCACCTTTCGAAAACTTGAAATCAACTAGTTAAATGAGACTTGTCACACACTTTATATCACTTGAGCATTTGATTTCTTTTGCACATTCTAGAAGTAATTGAATTTCAGTGGGAAGTGACTACTTGTTTAAACAAACAATTTTTCAGGCCGGACTTCCTATCCTAGGAGGTTCTGCTCTGTAAATGTATTCTCTGCTTCTTGAACCTATACATTCTAACAGGATTAATTCAGTATCTTGCAGTGTAATTTAGACTACACCATGCTGCATTTAGCTGCAATTTCTGTGAATAAGCTTATTCTTCATTTAACACAGTATAATACTAACTCAATCTTTTTATAAAACATAAAATCACAAACCTGTGTTTCTGTTGAATATTTCCTTTTGTTCAGTGATAAAGAGAATGACACTCAAATCTACAGTAAATTTAAAATTTCTCTCATTCTTATTATGGATTAAAAAAAATGATTCATCTACAAAGAATTTCCCAAGGCATCAATAAATGATACAGAGGGAAAGTTAAAGAGCTAAGATGAGCTATAAGCAAATTTTTATCTTTACTTAAGAAACTAAAAGAAAACCAATTGGTTGAGAAAACAAGTTAAAACAGTAATGAAACTGCAAAACATATTAATTCACTCATTCTTACATAAGTATGTTAACAGCTTTCTGATAGACATTAATTTTCCTAGTCCTTCTTTGCTCTGCCCCTAATGCATTTCAGAATTCCTGCTAAGGCATGTGCATAATGCTGCAAATGTTTTCTCTACAATTCTCTTTTTTATGCCTCACTGACTCCTTTCTCATTCATAAATGCAAGCACATCAAGAGGCAGCATTTATAAGCTTTGTGATTCTGCATAGGTTCCTTAATCTCTCTAAAGTTCAAGTTTCCTCATCTGTAGTACACTGACAATAATACATGCGTTGTGGGATTGCTAAGAGTTTAAAGGATCCCTAGCATACAATAGCTGTTTTAACAAATGCTGGTTACTGTTATGATACCTGAAAAGTTAGTCTTTGGTCCTCTGTTCTGAGGTTTTATAGACTATTTTACAAACTAGCAAAGGCAAAATTCACCATCAGGTAAATATCTCATATTAAATATGAAGAAACTAAAGCTTAGACAGATGAAGTAATTTGCCTGCAATCAAAAAGCTTCTTAGTGGCAGCAGTAAGACTGAAAACTAAGTCCAGATACAAGCATAGTGCTGATTACCTCACCACAATTCTCCCTCCAGAAACTTTAACTACTACATGGTTTCATTATGGAAAACAATAATCTAGTTCTGACCTAGCCTTTCTCCTTCATGCGAAGTTGTATGCTACTGCGTCAAATCAATTCCACATGACAAATCGCATTCCTCATACTCTTCCTCCAGCCACATCTCCTCCAAAATGCTGTTGTTTAGTTCTTATAACAGTATAAATATTTTCCTAGTTACACAGGTTCAAAGAGATCAGAAGAATGAGATAGAAGAGAATCAACATTTATTCTGCACCTATTATGCATCGGGTACTCAGCCAGGTAATTTACCTGCATTAGCATACCCGGGAAAGAGAAATGTCTCCAAGAGAATAATAAGGAAACCAAGCTGCCTAAGTAACTTGTATCACCCTGTCTAGTAAGTATAAGACGTAGTGCTGGAAACTGAATCCAAGTCTAACTGACATAAACCCATTCAGACACTGTCTATGTGTTCTAACAGGTACGCATGTCTTTGTGTATGTAACTTTGTCTTTTTTTTTTTTAACTGGAGTATCATATATATTTCTCTGCAACTTTTTTGTCAAGATGACAACAACTATATTTCCATGGTAGCTCCCTCATCTTGATCATTAATAACAAAGCTTGTAAGTAAACTTGATATATAAAAATCCTGAAGACACTCACTTTTTCCTGATTAGTAAGATAATATCTAAACTTCCAAACAAGATCTTGTTCTTCATATGTAAGTTGCTTGGTTGGTGGATAACTCACAATAATCTACAACGAAGAAGAAAAAATTGATTTTTTCAACTACATACTTCCTACATATTCCCATTTCAATTAAAATTTTCCATTTATTTAAATATTTCAATAAAAAATTTACTGCAGAAGCAAGGAGAATGTATATCTAGCCAAGTAAGATTTTAATTTGCTGAGCTTATCTGTCAGAAAGATAAATTACTAGAATACAAGGGGGAGAAAAAGATGAGAAAGTCATAAAAAAGTATACAACTATACAATTCTTTTAATTTAACCAGAGACAAACAAAACCAAAATAGCAATGCCCCTCCTCTCCCATCTCAAAGAAAAAACAAATTCTTCTCATGCCAAGTCAATGCATATAACAATGCATGTGTACACAAAATATCCTCTCTCCAGTAGTGTGTTAGGGCCAGTTTCTAAGAATACTAAAGTGCATATTATTTGTAGTGCTGTCTCCAAAGCTAATGAACTTACTGAAAGTCCCCAAATGAAAAGGGAACTGCAGATATATAAAATTGTCGACAATATGTAGGATTCACCAACCTGGAGAAAATGTGCGTCTAAATAATTTTTAAGAAAGTGATAACATACCAGTTACAACCAAATTATCATTCATTTAATTATTTTCTACTATATTTTATAAATTTTCTTACATTTAACTGATCTCTTGTGGCAGCATTGGGTTTGAGATCGTGATCAGAAGGTCCACTTCTTAAACTCCGGGCAAGCTTGTGATGTTTGCTCTCAACTAAGTTCTCCTATAAATTATTTAAAAATACTGAGAATGTAAATTTCATCAAAAGGAAATTTTTACAGCCAGTCAGATACAGAAAAGTAAAAAGGTACTTACTTAACAGCACTTCACAATATTTACTGCTGTGTTCTTATACAATCTTAGTCTCTTATGTTTCTTTTAAAAATATGTACACTTTGCGCTCCCAGCCACCGCAGCCTCCACCCTCTGGGCTCTGGCGATCCTTTCACCTCAGTCTTCCGAGTAGCCGGAATTACAGGCGTGTGCTACCACGCCTGGCTGATTTTTGATTTATTGTAGAGATGAGGTCTCACTGCCTAGGCAGGTCTCGAACCCGCGGGCTCAGGCAAACCACGCACCTCAGCCTCCCAAAGGCGCGGGATTACAGGCTGAGCCACCTAGCTCGGCTTGTCCTTCAATTTTTAAGAGTTCTTTAATAAATCAGCCTTTTGTCTGTAATGCACATAGTAAGAATTTTCTCCAGTTTATCAATCATCTTTGATTTTGCTGGTGATGCTTCTTGATGTAATTTTTAAAAATGGAATCAAGTTTATCAGTCATTTCTTTTATTGTCTCTGAATTTTGAGTCATAGTTAGAATGTCCCTACACTGAAAGTAAAGCATAGTAATGGTTTCATTTTTTAGCATTCAGATTCCTTGGAGTTTTTTTTCTTAGGTATGGCATGAGGAATGATTCTAATTTAATTTAATTTTTTCAATTGATTAATTTAATTCCCCTACAGTAATGAAATGCCAGTAATGAAATGCCACCTTCAACAGATACTGCACTTCCACATATACTTAAATGTACTTCTGGGCTTTTAATTCTGTTCAGCTTGGCTATTTGATATGTACATGTATCAGTACCACACTATTATAATTACAAAATTATAGTCTTTTATTGTCTGATATAGTGGCATATCAACTCAGTACCACCCGAAATTTTCTCGTTGATATATCTCTCCATTTAGTAAATAACCAGGGCTACAAGTAGAACTGATTTTTAAGCATAGGAGCAATGAAGACAGTGTTTTTAAAATCTTTTGTTTTGTTTGCTTGTTTCCATTGAAAAGTAAACATTGTTAACAAATACCCTAGCTTTTTATTTTTTTGGCTTTTTAGCATCTATAGCATAAAAAATAATCAAAACAGGTATAATTGTTGATGAGTATTTTTAGAAAAGAATATACTAAATATTCAGACATTGCACTTACCTGGCATTTTTGAATGAGTTACACATAGTAATACCTACAATTCCAGTGAGACAAAACTTGTTCACACTCAGTCATGTTGAAGGTAAGCTATAGAATACATCCCTCCATGTGTTTTGAATATCTAGAATGTAAACTATAAACTGATCTTATATTGAAAATTCAGTGATGATCTAAGATATATTAACTGGACTTTACTATACCATGCATAGGAACTCTAAAGGATTTAAAATGTTTGTTCCTGCAGGATGCTCAAGTGACCTTGTTTTGAACTTTTCTATGCTCTATTCCCCATCTCTTCCTCTGAGCTTAGGCCATCAGCCATGACACTTCATGCTTTCATGACCTTACTTATCTCCGTCATTATGTTTGCATCGCCCAAGGTGCCGATTTTAATCTACTCTGGACTGATTAGAAAAGTAATTAATCTAATTAGAAATGTATAAAATAGCCGGGCTCGGTGGCTCAGCCTGAAATCCCGTGCCTTTGGGAGGCTGAGGTGAGTGGATTGCCTGAGCCCGTGGGTTCGAAACCCACCTGAGCAGCGAGACCTTATCTCTACAATAAATCAAAAAATCAGCCGGGCGTGGTAGCGCATGCCTGTAATTCCGGCTACTGGGAAGGCTGAGGCGGAAGGATCGCCGGAGCCCAGCAGGTCGAGGCTGCGGTGGCCGGGAGCGGCCACTGCACTCCAGTCTGGGCGACAGAGTGAGACTCCAACTCAAAAAAAAAAAAAAGAAATGTATAAAATAAGGCTGGGTATGGTGGCTCATGCCTATAATCCTAGCACTTTAAAAGTCCAGGGAGGGAGGACTGCTTGAGTCTAGAAGTTCAAGAGCAGCCTGGGCAACATAGCAAGATCTTATCTCTACAAAAAAAAAAAATGTAGTTGGGAGTAGTGATATGTGTCTGTTCTTCCAGCTTCTCAGGAGGTTGAAGCAGCAGAATCTCCTGAGCCCAAAAGTCAAGGCTGTGGTGAGCCATGATCATGCCACTGCACTCCAGACTGTGTAACCAAGTGAGACCTGCCTCAAAATAAGCAAACAAAAAGTATAAAATAAAAGTCTGAGTAATGTGAGTTGTAGCTGTGATTATCATGGTATCTACTGTGCTGCTAAAAGGGTTTTGTGCCTGGAACTTTGTAATCTAAAATCATCTATTAATAATTAAACCTTCATTACAAAGTAGGAATCCTTACTTTCTCACACCTCTTGAGAGGCAGCTATCATCTCAAAAATCCATTAATAGTTAGGTATCCCACCATCACCCAAGCTACCATATTCAAAACTGAATAGTTCTAGTAGCTACAATGATCCTCCTTATTTCACAACAAAATTGGGTTCCCTGAAATTTTCATCCATTGACCCATGTTATAGAAGTCTCCTGTAATAGACAAATACTCCTTCTGTATGATTTAACAATCTTTCAAATACCATTTCCTTACTCCAAGATGCCGTCCCCCAGCTCATACAGCAATACAAATAAATTGGATACCCAATCCCACAGTCGTGACCTTATTTTTTGGTTGCAATATTCCTCATAAAAATTCCATCTGAAAGATTCCAGAAAACTAATGTGAATTTGTGAATCACTTCTAGATAACTGAGGTGACAACATTATTACTTTTTTTTTAAAGAAACTACATGAAATAACTAAGTCATAATCACTTTAGAAAAAAGTACTTTCACAAACAATCTGTACAATAACTTACCATAGACATCTGGGGGTCAGGAACTTTTACTAATTCAAAGCTTGTTAAAATTGGAGATGACTCATCACCATCCTGGATTGCAATGACATTTTAAAAAAAATTATCCAAATAGTAATAAACAATATGTAATGTATCTCCAATGTATTTTAATTATATTTCATGAACATCATTCTTCCCTTTAAAGAAACTCTTGTTTTCATTCTACTATATTATAAAATACATATCCATTTCCCACCTCTTTTTGTTGCTGATGAAATATTTTGAGAAAATAAAATATAACAAAAATTTGTATCACAGTTTAGAAATATGAGGTCTGGAAATCAGTAGATTGTTTTTGATTGTACCTTTTTTCCTAAACTTCATTCATATTGACAACGGATCAAAAGAAAGTATGTGCTACTTTTCAAACTCAGAACAAGAAATCACAGATTTCTTGAGAAGTAATATATGACACAATGGATACACATCATTTGCAAAAACTAAGTGGATGTTGGTGACTTTTCAAGGCATCACAATTCAGATCCATCCAAAGGAGCAAAATTTTAAGTGTGTTAATGTTACTCAAATTTATATGCAGCTACAGAAGCAGTAACACTGCTTCTCAAAGGGACACCTACTCAACACAATCCAAACCTGAATAATGACAATCAATCAATCAATTTTTAAGAAATAAAGTTGCCTTATTTTGTTGGTATTACCGTTTTTGAAGAACACTGGCTTTTATTTTTATCCAATTCAGTCAAGAAAGGTAATTCAACATAATAAATGTCACTGTCAAATACACTGGAAAAGGCTAACCTAATTAGGGTCAAAATTCATTTTCTCACGGTTGTGTATCCAGCATCAAGCTTTTCTGTCAATTTCCAAATGTTAATATGTTTTCAGTTTTAGATACGTGCAACACAATCAGCAGAGACTGAAAGAGGGGAAGATTGTGACTTTACTTCAGTAATTGAGTCTTACAGAAAACCACAAATTCCCACAGCCGTTGTTTAACAGGCTTGTTCTCAGTCACAATACCAGCAAACACATTTATCAGCCCAACTGTGACAAGTAATCTTCACTAAGGCTATCTGTCACAAAAGACAGGTGACAAGAAAGTCTATTTCCATTAGATTCAATACACTGGCCCAGCAATCTTTACACTAAGTGGAAATATGACAGGGTGGGTAGACAGGCATTAATTTATGAGCAATTTTCGGGAAGCAGTAGAAAGGGGTCAAGAACCTTTTCAAAAATACTTGAAATTCTTCTAATTTCTATTCTGTTATTATTTCATCTGCTATCAAAACTGTCTTTCAAAAGATCCTTCACATCTCTAATGTTTGAAAGTACCATCTCCATTAGCATGTTTTACAATATAAACTCTATATGAGCAGAAAATATTGCTTTTAATGAAATGGCATATAGTATAAAATGTAAAATATGATTTCATTAATGTGTACTGGTAACAAAACAGTTTCACTCACCTACATTTCCCTTACTCTTTGATGTAGTTTTTCTAACAAATTAATAAACAATGTTAAATAGTCTATCTTCCTATCTTCTTTATTTCCCAAAGAGTATCATTTATAAATAAATAAATAAAAGCTGAAATAAGTTAACACTTTCTATCCTTTCACTTTAGTGAAAGGGATACAAGCTAAAGAAAAAAGCTATATGAACATTAACTTTGAAAAGCGTCATAAATTAACTATACAAACTCTAAAACTTTATTATAAAAACCATTCAAGTAGTAATTTATAAAGCTATATATATTTTAAAAATCATTTATGATAGCATTAACAAATAAAGTGTAACTATAGCTTAAAAGGGCTGTTTCTAATGAACAAATATACAACATATAAGCTTGATTATATGCTAGAAGAAATATTAATCTATTATGCTATCTATCAAAGTCTGCATATTTATATAAACAAATGGACTTCTATGAAATTTTTCATAAGTATACATAAGTTAGGACCTCATACAGAATTCCAGCACATTTCATGTGTATATAATACTTAAATAACAACCATACTCTTGACTTTCAATAGTTTATGACTTAAAAGGTGTGATTTCTTCTTTTTACTTTTCAAATGAGTAATAATTATAAATAAAGCTATTAGTGTCCTACTTGCCAATTTGCAGAAAATTAATCAAAAAGTTTTTAATCACTTGCATACTTATTGAATTCTGTAACCCAGAACTGCATTACAAGAATGATCAGCTTTTGTAATCTTGTTGTAGCTGTATGATTTGATTTGTGTATACATAAACAGCTGCTGCTGACAGCTGTCTGCTGCTATCCCACAACCAAATAATTCATCTCAGCAGGAACAACAGTGATTTTTTTTTAAATGTTTCCCCTCCTCTCTACTTCAAAGATCAAAAACAGCTCTAAGGCAAATACCTTTTCATAATAAACAATACCATATTCCTTATCATCACACTTGACACATCGAAACTCAACCATCAAGTACATGAAGTTAGAACTTCGCTTTTCACTCTAAAACAAAAAAAAAGATTTTCATGAAAAATGGCCATTTTCAACACTGTCTTAAAAATTCAGTACATATCATTTTCCCAACTCAGTAATATACGTATCTATGAAGTACAAGTTAAAATACAACGTGCACATAAAAAATGTATTTCAATATATACATGCAGTGTTTTATGCAGTACTTTACTATACACAGCACCACTGTTTCATTCAGTAGTGCCAACTATGTACTCATAACTGCTTCCTCAAACTCATCAGTTTTGGTTTATTCAGTAGTTTGGATTTTATTATATAAAATCCTGGAGGTATATTGCATACATTTGCATGAGAACTATTTTCTTTCAAAATTAAATATGCTTTGTATTTCTAACAATTTTAAGCAAAGAAAAGTTCATCCTTAAACTACATGACTGATCTAACTATAGAAATTACATAACTGCAGCAATAACCAAAAGTTAAAAAAATAAAAAGTATGCAACTAAGGACAGAGGTCATTTGACTTACCAAGTATAACATTTACAAATTTTTTCCAATTAAGATATAAATATTCTTAAAATGATTTTTCATTTGTAAATTTAATCCACATTTTAAGTAATTGAGGCAATTAATTCTCCCCTAACATAAGAAAATTATGATTCTTTATATAAATGTGGTCTCTTAAAAAAAACAAAGCACACACAGTCATATGTTGCTTAATGAGAGGAACACACTCTGAGAAATGCACCATTAGCCTATTCACGGTTGTACCAACATCATAGAGTGTACTTACACAAACCTAGATGAAAGCGCCTACTTACTATATGTACACTGGGGCTGAATGGTATAACCATACCTCCTAGGCTACAAAGCTGTAAAGCATGTTGCTGTACTGAATACTGTACACAACTGTAACATAATGGTAAGTATTTGTATCTAAACATAGGTAAACAAAGAAAAGGCATAGTAAAAATATGGGGCCACTGTTGTACATGCAGTCCATATGAAATATGTTTATGAGGTGCATACCTGTACTACGGTAATGAGAAAAGGAAAATACAACACAGTCTAAAAGGTTGATTAGTCTTGACCCAAAACAGCTTTATAAATGGCTTTAAGTCTAATACATAAAATCATAAAGGCCTAAAAAGTTTATGTAAATTGCTCAGCTTTATGAAGCATATTACACCCTACTGTGGTAATGGTAATGGCCGCCTGTCTTTTAAAGAGCGGAGGTGGAAAGGATGAGAAAGGCTGGACAAAGGTAACGCTAACATTATACATTCTACACCCATGGGAACCTAAGGGAAAGAACAGAAACATGTAAGCAAGCATTTTGGTTAAACTCTCTTTGGAATGTGACTACTATGAAAATTACAAAAAAGTAACCTTTCTTCCAATTTGAATACATGAGATTGTATTGTGAGTAAACTTAGAAAAGAAACCAAATATTCAAATTGAATGCAAATGTTAAACACCACTACATTCATTTTTTTTAAAATGCTGAAGCATAACTTTTACAGTAGTTCACCATAAAAGTAAAAACTTCTCTCTCTTTTCACCTGCTGAAAACCAGTTGGAGAATCTAAATTAAGTCAGTTGTGACTTACATTGGTTATTATAAGTCAGACATATCACAAAATTGAAATTCTTCTCTCCTAATTTGATAAATTAATTATTTTAGTTATTTAAGCATATTCCATTACATCAAATATCTAGTAGTTTATAGAAAATATACAAAAGAAAATTCTACTTTTTGTTACAACTTTTGGAAGACTCTCATTGAAGTCATCTTTTAATTAAACACATACACTGGCCCAATACACAAGGTCAAGAAAAAGAAAGTACTTAAGCCAGGTGCAGTAGCTCAGGCCTATAATCCCAGCACTTTGGGAAACAAACCGAGGTAGGAGGACTCTTGGAGTCCAGGAGTTTGAGACCAACCTAGGCAACAGAGAAAGATACAATCTCTAAAAAAAAAGAAAAGACAGAAAAAAATCAAACATTAGCTGTTTATGGTGGCATGGTGGCACATACCTGTAGTCTCAACTACTTGAGAGGCTGAGGAGGGAGGACCGCCTGAGCCCAGAAAGTTGAGGCTGCAGTAAGCCATGATGGCACCACTGCACTCTAGCCTGGGCTACAGTGAGACCCCAATTCAGAAAAAAAAAGAAAAGAAAAAAGAAGCTATTTAAATCATGTAACTTTATTAAGGGTGCAGAGTCCTATACATAATGCAAAAGACAAGCAATACATTAATTAAAGGGAACTTCCTAAAGATGACTTACGGTAACTGAAGTGAAAAGCTAGCATTGTACTGATAGATTTATCCAACCCTGACTTGAACATGAGCTACCATGAAAAAGAAGACACAAATGCGCCATCAGGTCTGTACAGGCTTCACTTGTATGATACTTAGTACATCTTAGGATAACTGCTACCTACTTCATGGTTTGACATTACATTAAATATAAAAAAGGCAGATATTCTCAATTTTCCACGTTAGCATAGAAATCACTGCTATCCAGGTTAACCTTGATAATCCCACAATTGTGAGATACAAATCTCAATAAACAATTCTGTTGAGAAATTGGCAATTCAAAAATCTGTAGAAAATATTTTAAAATTTAAAAAAAGAGGGATACAACCCACCTCATTTATCATTTCTATTTCTCTAAATGTCAGTCTGTCCAGCCAATCTACTTTCACCATGTGTCCTTGACGATGAGCTTTGGTGAGCTGCAGAGCAAACACAACAGGGGAAGTGTTAATACAGATCTAACGGAACAGAGGCTACAGAGTAGAAGTGTCAACTTCACATACGATATATTTTCCGACACCCAACAAAGACAATATGCAACGATCAGGATAAAAAACTTGGTGGGAGACAAATGATTTTTTTCAATAAAAACAATCAAGAAAAAAATGTACAAAGGTCCACAATCTGCCATATTTTGATATGCTAAATAATAATGAAGTATTCCCTTAAATTACCTCCATGTTCCATATTTCTTATATTATTATCATTATAAAGAAGGAAATGATAATAAAAATAATTCCTTGAAGGAGAAATAAGTCACTTTTTCTCCTTTATTTAAATCTTTCAATCTGTCAAACATATGAAAGGTCATAGTTAGACAGCAAGATATTTCTCTGGTACTTATAAATTAATACTCTAAGTTTTAAGCTCACCCATATGCACATATGCTTTCATTTTAGCAGTTGGTAGAGTTCTGATGTCTTACACATCAATCTACCTTTAGTTTTATAAACTAAATATTGACTATTCAAATCCACAGAGAAATAAAAAAAAAAAGCTGCAAAGTTCTCAAATTGAAAGTTTTGTATTAGAAAGCATAATTTTAAACATTAACTGTGTGTATCAAATTTCCTCTTTCCTTCGAAACAAATTCATAGCATAAAGCAAAACTAGACATCAAAGTTTTCTACAGCAGCTTATCTCTTCATTGTCCACATCACTACAGCATTCCTGTAGGGATACCAACACTGCCAATCAATTATTATCTCTCTCACAGAACTAAAAATCTTTACCATCAATATTCTTTATCTTCTTCAACTCATCACAACTACATGGTCATACTATTTCAGAAATAAAAATACATATTTCACACAAAATGTTTGAGTTCACTGTAATAAAAAATAGCAATTTAGCTTTCTTCCACTAAAAATTCCTTTTCACCTGAGGCAATTTCTAAATGAAAATGTATAAAAATATATTTAGTGCTTGGCCTAATCATACAAAGCAGGAACTAAATATTTTGTTGGATCTGGTGGAACATTCAAAAAATATGCTAGCAACACGGAAATCTCTAATGACAATCACAAGGGAACTGAAAGTGGATCGGGCATTGTGACCTAAAGGAAAGAGTGCTAGGCTAGCACCCAGAAGACCTGCATTCCAACCCTCAAAGTCCATTATCAAACTTGGTCATTTTTGAACCCATATCAATAAAATTAAAGTATGAACCTCTATTCCTGCTCCCAAAATTCAAATAAGATAATGAATGCAAAATATGACAGATGGTATCATTTTGTGTAGTCAGAGACTTCTATTTTTACTCACTTTGCAATATGTTCCAAGTTGGTTTTTAAAATAAATAAAAATATAAAAGGTCATATTACATCCTTTGCTTGTATAAACAAAGTAAGAGTGAAAATTAGTAGCAAGAGTTTATATACTTTCTAGAGGAATGGGGAAAAACAGTATCTATTTACATGCCATATGTTTGGCATTCTTTATGACCACACTATTAAGTAGACAGTTTTGATCCTAGTTTGCAGGTGATTATCAATTTTTACTATGAAGTGGCCAGGTTAGGATTTAAGTTTCAGGTCTTTATGCTGCTAGAGCCTGTGCTCCTGCCAACAGTCATTGCTGTTTCCCCTCTCCTGATGCACTGTTACTAAGAGATTTACATTCAATTAAGTTCTGTCATTGATTCAACATTAGTTTTGTCTTTATGATATAATAGTTGACCCAATACTAATTTCCTATGAAGAAAGAACTAGCAATAGTAAATTAAGCTTAGATGTGGGAGAACGTACTGGGGCCATTTTTCCTCCTGTACTAAATTACCCAGAAAAATAAAAAATGTTCTAAAGTCATCCTCACTATCCCCAAATTTATATTTGCTGCTAATACATATTGCTTCCTATAGAGCATATACTTGGCTTTCCTATTTGAAAATTAAATATGTCATTTCTCAATCTTATGAAGAGCTACCGAAGAATGTATGGTCCATGTGGCAGTACTAAAACTGATGAAGCCACTATGGAGGACAAGTGTAAATTATCCTAAAGACATCCGCATTTGTGCACCTTTATTTGCAATACAGAAAAAATAGCTATAAAGGAAGAAAAATGTCCATCTCAATAGAGGAAACTGCAAAGTAAGCTATGGTACACACACACTATAAAATATCATAATGAGAAAGAATGAGGAAAATCTTGTTGAGTGCAAAAGGAATTACAAAATTAAGGGTCTCATTTATGCCATAACAATTGTTTACATGTTTTTCTTCTGCACCAGAGTTTGATATTGAGAGCAGAAATTCTTCATATTTCTCTATTTGAATTAATTCTACAATTTTGGCAGAACCAAATAGTTGCCACTCAACATGTTTCCTAGCTACTTGTCCTATTTACCATTTACTACGTAATAAACAACCCCAAAATTTAGTGGCTTAAACAATATTTCTTTTATTGTTTCTCATGATTATTTGAGAAGTCATCTTCTTGAGGAACATTTGAATAATTTTTCACTTTGGTTTTGGGTTCACTTACAACTCCTCATAAGACAGTAGTCATTTGGGGGCTGGAGCTGGCACATCCAAGATGACTTTATGTCTAACACCCTGGTGGACAAGGGTGAGCTTGGCTGGGATGCCAGGGTGGTGGCGCCTCTTTCCTCATGTATTCTCAATGCCACTCCCTCTCTAAGTGGTTTTTAAACTCCAACAGAATAGCTAGACTTCTTACATGGTGGCTCAATGTTCCCAACAAGTGTAGAAACAAAAGCCGTCACGCTGTCTTGCCTGCGACAGAGCTTTACTTTTGCTACACTGTGTCAGGTAAAATGAGTCACAGGGTAGTATAGATCTAACATGGAAAAGGATGACATCAGGAGGCATGTTTCATTGAGGGCCATCAATAGAGACTAGTGAGCACAGCACTTTTTACCAGAGAGTTCAAGTATATAATACAATGGATTGTTCAACTGCAAAGGAGCAGTGTGGTAGAGCTTGGTGATGACAACGTCAGCTCTTGGCTGGACTTTAAGCAGCAAGAAAAGCCTAGAATTAGCTACCACAATTGCTAAATGATCACAATCGCTGAATGATCTGTCTCTGCCTTCCTCTACAAATTAATCTCCTTAATTCTTCCACTATCTCATTGCATTCCACCTACCAGTCTCTTTGGTTTTTCAAAACATAAGTCCTTTTATTTGTAGGGCTCAATGCAAATGAAATAATTAATAATTATTAATAATTTTGAATTAAAATTTTGAATTAAACATGTTGCAAAATCTTATAAAATGATAAAGCACGATGTAAGCTGTAAGTAGCTACTCTAATTAGCCCATAACCTATGTCACTTAATCTCTTGTAGGTGCTGACAACAATGTAGAAAGACCTAGGTAGTTTAAACCAGTCCAAAGCTTCCAGTTATCCCAAATCCTAGAACTTCTGCAGATACTAAAGACCAAAAATAAACTTTGAAACATAAGTGGAAATACTGACTTATTATTTTATTACTGGCAGAACAATTTATATTTTATTTTAGGTCGGAAATGCCAGTGACCTAGATCTTTCCAAGGAGAAAATCTGCATTATGATAAGCAGAGGGTAAAAGTAGTATAATCTGTTTCAATTGTTTGTGAAGAAATAATCCTCTAAGTTGTGAAGAAATAATCCTCTAGGTTGCCGATTCTTGGAAGGAGACAGGTAAAAACGAGTCTTTCTTTCTTTTTTAAGGAACACAGATTTCTAGAGAATTCACAAGAAATTATATAGAGCTTGGAAGAAAAGCCCATGATCCCAAAAAAGGCATAATTGGGTCCTAACTTCTCCAAGAATTAAACAGCAAGGGGTTTTAAAAGCTACTTAAAGAAAAGAATCCCCAAGAAGTAAATAACAACATGCTCAGGAAACTTCTTGGAGTACTAATCATGTATTATCAAGTTTAATGGGAGGACAAAAACATGTCCTTGAGGAAGATATCTCAGATTAGTAGGTGTTTAATAAAAGTACCAAAGACAGAACTAAACATAGGCCAACTAGCTGCGCTATATACAAACTAAGAAAAGCAGGAAAAATGAATGTCAAAACACATAGTGACCCTTGGAAACAGACACACTTCCATGATCATCACAATTCACAGCTCAGTGCTTCTTATTTTTATCTGCCCTGCCAGACTATAGCTTCTTGAGTGCTAAAGCTGTGTGAATGAATGGTTGATAGAACCTAGATTTATTTATTTAAAGAATATTTATATTTATAGAAAGACCTTCTATATGGAAGGGAGACAGGATGGAAAACAAAGTTTGCATACTGTGGAATTCTGCCCAAGAGTTTTGGGGACAAGGAGGCAGGGCAGTAGAAGGAAGGGAGTGACACTCAAAAGGAAGCTGAATAAAAAAATGACTTGTGACCTTGGTCAATTTTCCCTAGAATTTATGTACCCTCAACATAAATATATGTTACTTGATTGTAACAAACTTTCATCATGTCCCCTGCCCTTGATATAAGCACAGAATGTTGAACAAAAGAAGCAAGTTCTCTGCCCTCAAAAAATTTCAAGATAGGAAAGGGTGAGTCATTCACATGGTACGCATAGTGTAACTATAAATTGGATCAGTGACATAAAAGTAATAGTGGGGGTGGGGGAGGTCTTGAGACAGGTCACATTTAAGGACTTGAAGGATAAGGAATCAGCCAAACAAATAGGATGAACCTTTTAAGCAGAGAAAAATGCAAAAATATTCCCCAAACTTTGATCCTCATTTTAAGCATGCATGTATACCTTCTAACTATGTCTGATAAGTCGGAAACACAGGCTATGAGCAAATAAATAAATCTTCTAGAAACAACTCAAAAGAATAATTCTCACGTTTCATTTCAAATCAACAGGAAATTTAAAGTGGACACTGGCTCTGTAACAGCAAAGAACTGCAACATTTTTAATATCCAACCACAGAGGAATCCTGGGATGAATTAAGT